ATCTTTTATATATTTCGAATTAGTACTCTAGTTTTATAATTTTACATTTTAATCATTAAATTTTCATTTTTGACTATGATTTTTTAATATTTTACATTTTAATACTATATTTTTAATTCCTTTTATTTTAATCATTAATTGCAATATTATTTTATTATTATTATTATTATTTATTGCTTTAATTATTATTTCATTATTATTATTTTTTATTATTTATATATATAATAAATAATATTTGTTTATTTATTCTATTTGTTTTCTATTAAAATCCTATATTTCATAAATTACTTTTAATAATCATATTTTAATATATATTTATTTTTCAATATTAAGAAAATGACTATCTTAAAGCACCTAGAAGTCCGTTTTCTGATATTTTTACTAAATATCTTATTTTTATAAATCATATATTAACTTTTAATAAATGTTTTATTTATTATATCAAAGAAAAGAGCTGTCTTAAAGTACCTAGAAGCCATTTTCTGATATTTCTAAATAAATAAATATCTTATTTATATTAATATATTTTCATAAAATCATAAATTTGAAATAAAAAATATTATAAGTTAAATACATCTTTGAATTCTTAAATTCTATTATTAGAGACAATCTATAATTAAAAAAGTACCAATTTTGGGCGTTGTAGGGGTGCTAATCCTTCCCTAAACGTAACCGACCACGAATCCCTTTTTATTTCTAAAAAGAATGAATTTTTGGTTAAACACAGATCAATTTATCTTTTAACTGATGTTTTCTTAAAAAAACTCTTTTAAAAGGTAATTTTTAGGTATTCGACCTACCTGACCCAAAAGGCCGATGGCGACTCCCGAACCATTTTTTTTAATTATTTTTTTATCTACATTATTTTTCCCACCAAGTAAAAAATTCGTGCCCGGACGAAAACCGATTACGACAGCTTGACGACTCCGCTGGAGATTTTTCCATCATCTGGATCCCTCTAGACTGCCAATTTTTTTTTGTTGGGTCCATTCCCATTTTCTCATATCTTCAACATTTTTTGCTCTTCTTGCCGAATATGAATCTTTGAACTAATTGTACTTGATCAATTTTGTAACTTGAGGCTCTATGAATCACCCATCTTGGTTCAAATTTTTTCTTTTTTCTGATATTTTTAAATAAATAAATATCATATTTTATAAATTATATATTAATTGTTTTAATTATTTATTTATTTTTTAATATCAAAGAAAAGAGTTGTCTTAAGGCACCTAGAAGTCCTTTTCTGATATTTCTAAATAAATAAATATTTTATTTATAAATATATATAAATTAATATTTTTTTCATAATTATAATTTGAAATAATAGGATTATAAATTAAATATATTTTGAATTTTTAAATTTCTAATAATAGAGACAATTTATAATTAAAACCAATTTTGGGCGTTGTATGCTAATCCTTCCCTAAATATAACCGACCATCTGCAATCAAATATTGCTTGTATATTAAAAATTCTAAATTCCGCCAGTCTTTCGCGTCCACTAATTCGAACAAAGATGAAAAATGCAGAAAAAAAAAATAAAAAAAAGAAACCTGCTTGATGAGGTTTATATCGAGTTCTGATTCATGAAGACGCATACCAGCACTTGGATGACGGAAAAACAAGAATTCTCGTTCGCCGTCAGCTCTGAGCGTAACGAATGCCAATGCAGTTCTTGCACTATGGTCAAACCGCATGCCGGAATTGTCCACATTGTTTTCTTTCAAAATGTTAGCTAACATGTGGCCAAATTCATCATCCCCTACCTGATATGGAACTGCAAGGCGTCATGTACATTTACAATCTCATTGTCCAAATAATAATAATGTGATTTCACTGAGAAGAAGTATAATTTGGCCGCTATACATTTAGCGGGACGATTGTTAAGAGTCTGCAGGTAAAAAAGCGGCCCTTTTTATTTACAACATAGAATTATTCTACATGATCGATACATATAAAGATAGATGTTAAGACTTAAGTTTACCTTGCCTGTGAAAGCTGATGTTCCTCCTAATCTAGATACGCAAACGGCCACATTAGCTGATGTTCCTCCTAATTTATACATCTATTTTAAAAAGATTAAAGACGTATTTCAAAAAAATTAAAGACGCACTATACTCCATACGTCTTCCACCTAGCAATATAACAAGTGCCTTAATTCAATAAATAATTCTTAAAGGCATTGTGTAGGATATTTTTTTCCACAACATCATCCAAGTAATTTTGCCATGTTTATCCAATCAAAATAAAATTATTAGTTAATTTAAAAGAAAGCAGAAACCATTCGTGGGCTAAAATCCGAAAGGGCCCACCGATACCTAATTGGAATCATATCAACGGCCCAGATGGTTTTGGAAAACTTACCTCTTTCTTCATCACTTGCCTTGCCTTGGCTTTCCCACGGAATCCACGCCTCTGTTCTCTCTCATTCCCCCTCCCGCTATAAAACCATCAACGCTCCCTCGTTTACTCCAAAGGCTGAGAAAAGAAAAATGGCTTTGCCAAAGGCTAAGGAAATCGTTTCTGCCAGTCCAGCTGTCGTTTTCAGGTATACGTAGTTTTGTACGTACCATTATCGTTCATATCCTTTCCCCCCCTTTCTTTCGGTATTTTATACGTATGTGTTGATGCAGCAAGTCGTACTGCCCGTTCTGTGTGGATGTGAAGAAGTTGCTTCAACAACTTGGAGCTTCTTTCAAGGCCATCGAGCTAGACAAAGAAAGTTAGTTTTCCTTCTTCTTTTATTCGTTTCCAGAAACTGTGTGATCTGAAATGAAGTTTTGATTGCTTGAATTTTGTTGTTATTAATCTGATTGGCGACGTGGAGTTGGTCGCTTCACTATAATCAAGCTATGTTTTTGCTCCTTTTGTTTGCGATGGATTATATCGAATGTAGAAATCAAACGGGATTCGTGATTTAAGATTTGAAATGAAATTTTAACTGATGTAATTCTTGTTAGTATTAATTTGATTGGATTCTGCATGGTGTCTTGAAATTGATTTCTTTCTCTACAATCAAACAAGGTTTTCTGGGGCTTTGTTTTCGTGGATTATATCATATGAAAAAAGTTATTGGTTTTTAGGAAACATATATAAAAGTACACCAGAGGTCATTGAATTGTGCTTAAATGATTGTTTTGGTCACAAATTTTCAAAAGTTACAAAATGGTAATAATTCTAACAGTTCTATAAATTTAATGATCATTTTATTTAGTTATCACTTTATAACTTTTAAAAAATTCAGTATCCAAAACGATCATTTGAACATAGTTAAGTAACCTCTGGTTCCTTTCAGATGTATTTTACTTTTTTTTTTGGATTTCTGCAGGTAGAATTTATTCTACTGTTTGACTGAGTCTTTTAAAACAATTAGATTTTTTGGTTGACCGAACTTTGCTTTCTGGTTGAAGTCATGATTTGCTGATTATTAATTGTGTTCTTACGTCTGAGGGACGGTTTGAATTGTAGAAAATAGGAGAATTTTTAGTGCTCTTATCAAACTCCATGGCTCCGTTAGTGTTTTCTTTTTCTCTTTTGGGTGGTACATGATCTCGAGTTTGTGGGATGGTTCTACAGTACTATACGAGAATCTGTAATGTTTTTCTAATCAAATTCCATGGCTCCATCAGTTGGGTTTTTATGTGGGATGTAACCTCAGAGTTCGAGGGGCAATTTGAATGGTAATATAGGAGAATCTGTAGTATTCGTTATCAAATTCTATGGTTCCATTGTGTCTACCTAATGGGTTTGAAGCCTTCTCTCTGGAATTCCTAGTTTAGCTTTGAAAGATGACATAATTCAGTTCTGCACAGTTGTCTTCGTTGTCAGTTTTGGGTTCAAGATGTTGATTTGGACGACAAGAGTGTATGGTTTTGGTTATAAAATATTAAAAATAATGGAATCCAAGTCCATTACCTATAATAAAGTCTTCTAAAGAATGCCTCTAAAGCGATTGAATGTCTTCTGGCATTGTGAATGATTGGGTACATTATCTTGAATCAGTACAAAACAACCCATTATTACACTGAACAATTTGCTTCCGATGGGATTGTAGCTGTAGATGCTCCCTGCAAAAATTTCTATTTGTCGATACAAGTTGAGGCCGGATTTGCAACTCTTTCTTGTTCAACTTTAACTAATATTGGCTTTTGTGTTTTCCTTTTTTCAAGGTGATGGAAGTGAAATTCAAGCAGCTCTGTTTGAATGGACCGGACAACGAACTGTGCCCAATGTTTTCATTGCCGGGAAACACATCGGTGGCTGTGACAGTGTCCTTTAAACTCTGTTACCATATTTTATTCATATAGGAATCAAAATCCCCATACCATCCCTGTTAATTAATTACCGTATTTGCATATCCTGCAGCTACAACAGCCATGCACAAGGCAGGTAAACTTGTTCCTCTGCTAACCGAAGCTGGTGCTATTGCAAAATCATCCGTTTAGAGTATAGTTAAGCTTCCTATCTACCCTTTAACTAATAAACAAATGCCGAGTTCGGTTTCATGTCGATTCTGTCCTTAACGTCAAATCGTTAATACAGCGCTGTGGTATCGAATATGAATTGTGGTTTAATTTCTAGTACTATTTCTGTTTGAGTGTCCTTTAATAGAGATATGAAATTTAGCTGAATCAGATACCAGACATGTCTTGTTTGTTCCATTGCTGTGATTTTTAATGAATTCTTCCTTATATGCCATAATGTTCAGGTTGGACCGATATTGTTTTCTTCTTCTTTTGGTCCAAGTTTTGAACCCGTAATCAACTCGAAAAACTCAAAAATTGTCTTTGGATGTGTACTAAATCTGTATTGGTGATGGCCGGTTAGTTTCTTTTATCACGGAAAAATTGATCATAAACACAGAACATGAGCCAAACATGCTTCTATTTGACACACACATTCATTGGTCAGGCTTTTGGTGACCATTTTTATTATTTGAATCAACGATTCTGAAATCAGACAGTGTTGTAAAAATGTGGACGAAATACATTAATCATTAGAATGCAAAGTTGGGTTGGCTTCATTGCTAAACTTCGTCGGCTGAAGCCTGGAAATACTCTCGAAAGAAGACATTGTTCTCTTTAATCAATTCTTCCCAAACTGCAAAATAAAAACGAAACATCTTAAACAAGATGATGGTATCGTATAATATACAAACAAGATCATGAATACAATGAGAGGGGTGCTAAAACAACAAGAAGAGGTGTACCTGTTAGGGTGATGGTGGGTTGAATATTGGCATGCTTGGTAAGTGCTTTGACACACTCGTCTCTGCTCATCCGACAAACCAGACAGCTCTCTATCATGTGTGAACCTACAAACCAAAGATTTTTTATCTGTTCAAGGAAAATGATTGTAAAAGTAGGGAGATAGTGTTAATACCATCCTAATGTAGTCATGTGGGTGGCAATGCAAACAAGGGAATTGATGCTTTTGGCACATCTTTTAGGGGATATGATTTTGGGTAGATATTTAGAGTGGGTTTTTATAGGCATGAAGACCAAAGTGGGGTTGGAAAGAGAGAAAGCAAAGAAAAGGATTGTTATCCACAACCATATCCAAGTGAAGGGCTGCAAGAGCATGAGAAATCTTTACCCTTTTGCCTCACTCGCCTTCAACAGATAAGACCTCCCCTTCCTCCCTCGTGTATTTATTAATAGGATCCGGTATTATTTGATTTGGGTAAGCTAAATAAATTATCACTAAAATTTGAGTAAGTTTTCATTTTTCACACTAAACTTTTATAAGTTATAAATTGGTCACTAACTATATTAATTTGTAATAAAATGATCATTCGATGCCACTTAACGTTAACAAACGTTACTAAGATAACAAAATGCTGATGTCGAGTGTTAAGTCAGTTTACTTAACTGTCTAACGATCAAAATAGCAGGTCAAAGCCCATCAACATTATCTTCTTCTTCACCGCTTCATCCAACTAACCCTCGTTTGATTCATTCCCTTGTCAAAATGAAAAATGATGTTTAAATATTATTTATAAATGATTCAATATCATACTTATACTCATGCACATACATGCATCAAAACATACGTACATATATGGACTAATAATTTATTTTAAATTTTGCTAGTTTCATAAATTTAATATATATTTTTTAAATTTTATATTCTAATACTATCGTAAAATCGTGTTTAAATATTTATATATATTAAACTCTTAAGTTAAATTATTAATAAATTATTATATCATAATAATGACTTTAAGTGTATTGATATTTTAAAATTATTTTATATAATATAATGAAGTTAATAATCAATATATGAATCATTTAATAAAATTAATTTAATAATCATAATAAAATTTATTAATCTAATAGTTATAATTAAAATTTTCAATCTAGAGCATAATTAATAATTTACTTTAAATTATGAAGTATTACTTTTATTAATTTTATCAATCATAAATTATTAATTTAATAGAACTTTAAGTCAAGTAAATATCAAGTTGAGTCAATATCAGATCAGTCGATAACAATTCAGATCATTTATAGGTTGAGCCTATTACAGACCAGGCTCATAACAGGCCAGGTTGATAATAGGTCGAGTAATATCAGTTGTTTATCAAGTTAGTCTCAGGTTCGAGTTCATATTAGGTCGGGCGTAAGTCATATTTAGTTATTACATTATTAGGTTCAATTTGTGTTCAAGTCATTCTCAGGTCAACACTTATCCAGACTCAAATCGATTTTAGGTCATCATTATCTTGGGTCACAAACAATTTTGTCTCAAGTCGGTTTGATTCAATTTTACATGTCAAATCGATTTTTTTACATCTTATAAGATCAATATTTACTTACACGTAAAATTTTTAAATTTTATATTTTTAAGATTATTAGATGAGTGAAAATGAGTTAAAATTTTAAATTGATGATAATCTAATTTTTGTTCGTAGAAATCTCTTCATTTCTTAATATTAACCTCAGTCATTCATTTTTCTTCATTAAACGATTCTATAAATGTGTGAAACTTAAAAATTTTACATTATGTCAATAAATTTCAACGTTCTTTTTCTATTTACATATGAGGTAGAATCTAGTTATATTATATAAAATTCTCTAACTTTACATTGATTTAAGTTTATTGAATAAATATCAATAAATGATAAGATATACAATTAAAAAATATATTTTTACAGAAGAAAATAGATAATATAATCCAATAATCATAAATAAGGGTAAAATAAAAAAAATAATGTAAATGGATATTTTCATATATATATATATATATATATATATATAATACTCCAATGAAACTACACTGAGGCCCAAACCTGGTTAGGCTGAAAACCTTATTGGGTCTTGATCTGATGGGTTCATCTCTGATGGAGTTTCAAGTCTCCATTAAAATTTATAATAAAAAAGCCCTACTTGGTTCACGATGGAAGTTGAAAAAAAACCCCCAGGGTTTTAGCTTGCTTTAATGACCGTTCTTCTTCATCTGCCAAATATTACTTCCTGATTCAAAAGTGCTTTAGGGTAAGCCCTTTTTTCTCAACTTTCAAGCTTAACTATCTAGCTTGAACATGTATATATGTATATGTATATGTATGTATATTTTCATGAATTTGGGGATTTCTGGTAATTTATGTGATTCTTTATTCTTGACGAAACTTTGTGTATGTGGTAAAATTTCCTCTATCTGGATTGAACACACACACACACATACGTGTATATGTATGTTATTTTCATTAATTTGGGGATTTCTGGTACTTTATGTGATTCTTTGTTCTTGATGAAACTTTGAGTATGTGGTAAAACATCCTGATAACAATGTACATAGTTGCTTAATTTGAATGTGTTTTTCATTCTTTTAAGGATGTTGCTTATGGATTCCTCAAAGAAGATATCTTTCAATCGTTGCATTAGAGATGGAGATTTAGTTATTATTTATGAGAGGCATGATACTATGAAAGCTGTTAAAGTGTGTGAGAATTCGGTTCTTCAAAATCGTTTTGGCATATTTAAGCATTCGGATTGGATTGGGAAGCCATTCGGTTCCAAAGTGTTCAGCAACAAAGGTGGATTCGTGTACATATTGGCTCCGACGCCTGAGTTATGGACTTTGGTTCTAAGTCACAGGACTCAGATTCTTTATATTGCTGATATTAGCTTTGTGGTTATGTACTTGGAAGTAGTTCCTGGTTGTTTGGTTCTTGAATCCGGGACCGGTAGTGGGTCGTTAACGACCTCGCTTGCAAGGGCTGTGGCTCCTACTGGACATGTGTATACCTTTGATTTCCATGAACAGAGGGCTGCCTCAGCTAGGTAAGCCTTATGCTTTTCATTTGTGAAAGTGCATTGAGATGAAAATCTCGGTTTCGGAGATTTGAGTTTCAAAATATGATATAACTGCTTAGGTGAACTTGAATTCTAGGTCATTTTCTGATGTCTATTCGGGTTGATATATTTTTAGCTCTATGTTCCATTTGTTTTGATGCTTCATTGTCTCAAATTTATCTCGGTCTATGGATATTAGTTAGTTTCGTTTGTAAGAGTGCGTTCTGATGAAATCTTGAGTTCAAAAGATTTTTGTAATGATATCTGATCTAATATCTGCTTAGCTTGAGCTTTAATTCTATGTCGATTTCTGAAGTCTATTCGTGTTTTGATGTATTCTTGCTGTAATGCTTCGTAGTCTCGTAATTTTCTCGGTTTACAGATATTAGCTAGTTTCGTTTGTGAGAGTGCAAACTGCAATGTGATGAAATATGATTTAATTAGCTGCATGGATTTTTTGGGTTTTGATGTATGCCTAGATCCGCATTTTGTTGGCGTGATGCTTCATAGTTTCAAAATTAGCTTTTTACTGATCTTTTCTAGTTACATTTGTGAGAGAACCTGTTCCGAAGAATTTCGGTTTCAAAGATTTGAGTTGTACATTCCGTTGCTGAGATGCTTCATAGTCTTAAAATTATTTAGGTTTACGGATCTTTACCAGTTTATGTAACTGAAAGATTAAGAATGAACCTTGCCAAAGACTTTTTTTTTATAAGAAAGGGAGGCCTCGTTAAAACCCCTTTCATAACCGTCAAAAACACTAGGAGGCCTCGTTAAAACCCCCTTCATAACCGTCAAAAACACTAAGGTATCTTGACGGACATTGGAAGGAGGAAAGAGTGTCTCAAAATTTTATTACCAACCAAGAAAACAGTATAATATAACCATTACAACAACACCTAACATCGGAAGAAACCTTGCCAAAGACTCATTTGCTAATCGGTTTATGGTTTTTCTCTCCTTTAACAGAGAGGACTTTGAAAGGACCGGAATAAGCAATTTAGTCACTGTGGGAGTTCGAGATATCCAGAGTGAGGGATTTCCCGATGAGTTTTCCGGGTTGGCTGATTCTGTATTTCTGGACCTACCTCAACCTTGGCTTGCCATCCCTTCCGCTCGAAACATGCTGAAACAAGATGGAACTTTGTGTTCCTTCTCACCGTGCATCGAACAAGTGCAACGCTCATGCGAAACTCTTAGATCAGACTTTACAGGTAATGTGTTCGAATTTTGAGCAGTCTTTCTGTTAAAAGTATCGTTAACTTTTCTTACAACACAGATATAAGGACCTTTGAAATACTGCTCCGTATGTACGAACTCCGCGAATGGAAAATTGATCACTCGAAATTCGAAGATGGTAGTTCCATCGCATACCCTCCGTGCAAGAGGAGACAGCCTTCAAGTGAAGTAAGTGTGGGGGAAAACACAAGTTCTCCGGCAGTCGTGGCTCGGCCATCAGCTGAAACCCGAGGGCATACCGGATATCTGACATTCGCAAGACGAAAGTGTGACTCATGAAAAACATCATAAAACTATATCGAGAAATTCGATCCTTGTCTGGAAAATTTATCATTTTGCGGCGGAAAATGATTGGAAATCAAACGCTGTCGTTTTTAACGAAGTCGCTGGGTTTGTCCAACTTTAGAGAATGTTAAATATAAGGGTTAATGCAAAAATAAATTAGATCTTAAGTTAATTTTTAGGTGTCTAAAGAATTTTTTTGCTTGAAATAAATATTTAATGTTTTCAATCTTATATTTTTAGCAGCCTATGCCGTAAAGATTGATAAAAATCATTATCTGATGTGTTGTGTTTATAATTTTTAAAAATGTTTTGAAAAATAAAAATATTTAAATATATATATATATATATATATATATTTAAAAAATTACAAAATCCTAGCTTATACCCTTCTCTCCCAAATCCCTCGCGCTAGCTGCTAAATCCTCCCTTTCCCGTTCAACTTGGGGCCACCTAAAAACCCGTTTATAGACCCCTACTTTCGCAGTTTCGTGTATGAATACCGACAAACATATTTTTCAGCCGAATTCGAATTTTTAGATTTAGGGATTTGAGTATAATGATTTAGGATTTTTGACAGCATCATTGGGGGTAGGAGTTTTTTCGACCGATGGGGTTTTGGTCAACGGTGTTAGATCGATCAAAGAAGTTTTGAAGGCCGACAAAAGTAAAGAGTATCGAAATTAGAGATTTTAAGATTTTCTTAATAATTTTATAAAATCAAGTTTTTTTTTTAAAAGTACATAATATAAAGTTTTTTAATTTGAATAATATATGTCAGATGACGATTTCAGCATAAGAACAAATCTAAAAAGTTGAAAATCTTATAAATTTATTAAGTAATTTCAGAGATAAAAATAATAATATTATCAGGTAATCTCAAAGATAAAAAAAAATAATCTCTCTTATCAAAGATTCTACATAACTAACGTGAATGATCAATTGACTAAGAACAATTAATACTTATAATCATTATTCAACTGTTATTTAATTTGTCTAGTTTTAAAACTAACAGATTAGATATCTACAGAAAGGGGTTGGAAAAAACAAATCAGATAACTAATTAGAATTGTGGGACAGAGATAAAATTACATAAATATTAAGCTTAGTCTTGTGTTGGTCACATTACATTACATAAAATTACAACTTAACCCACTTGCCTTCTTTCACTCCCCACTAAATAAAATTCCATGGTTCATTATAAAATCAACAATGAATGAATTCCACTACAAATGTCAATTTGTGGAGCTTTCAAGCTTTTGCCGATGCACTGCCCCGACTTGGACTTTAAGACACGAAGAGATACCAAGTGCCTAAATTTCAGAGTTGACGAACGAGATCAATGATCATCCTCTGCATTGCCGGAACCTATACGAGTCCCATTCGTAAATCCCGATCTTGCCTGCTCATGCTGAGAATCACCATACGATCTTCCAAAATTGTCCCTCTCATGAGAAGGTTTCTGTGGATCCATAAAATGTCTCGGCTCCCTCAAATTTTCATTATTGTTAGGGGGCACACGATGTTGCGGTGGGGATGATCTATCACGTTTTCCCATCACCTCATGGAAACTCCGAGGTGGGGAACGTCCATGAACATTATCATACCTGTCAGCACTACGACTCCGGCTGCGATCACGGCCAATGTTTTTATGCCGATCACCCAACCCAGCAGGACTTCGACTGTGACTATGTCCCTTATCGTAACTATCATGGAAACCACGATTATACCTGTTCATGCATTATAAGGGTTCTATAAATAAGGGTGAACTTAAAACAAGTTGTTTTCAACAATTGAAATCCAAATACTGCAAAAAGCCTGTTGTGAGAACTGACACAAATCCAGAATAAAGAACAGATCATTTTATTACCTATCACGAGACTCGTGATCATATCCGCGTCCACCACTTCTATCATGCCAGCTAGAAGATGAGGTAGAAATTCCATAACCACCCCTTCCACCAAACCCCGAATCAGTACGTCCACCATGCCTCCCATTAAAGCCCCCAGAACTGGGAGCCCAACGCCTAGGCCTTCCCATCCCTCCACCACGTGAAGCCATATCACGAAGTTCTGCAGGCACCAGCTGGTTTGCTCCTTCTAAAACTTTGATGAGATCTGATGCATGCTTCGCATCCTGATCAGCAAAAAATGTATATGCCAATCCGGTTGCACCTGCCCTTCCAGTCCTTCCAATCCTATGAACATAATCTTCAACTCCAGTAGGGAAGTCATAGTTGATTACCACCCTACGAAAAATGTTGAATAATGCAATCAATATCATGATATAAGAACTAACACAGCAGATGTAGTTAAGTCACCGAGAAAACATTAAAGACCTACTTGATATCTTTAATGTCCAATCCCCGAGCAGCAACATCAGTAGCGACAAGAACTGGTGTCCTCCCGGTTCGAAACTGATTCAGCACATAGTCCCTGTCAGCCTGAGATTTGTCTCCATGTATAGCAGCAGCTCCAAAATGTCGACTGAGGTTACGAGCCAGTTGATCACACATCTTCTTGGTTGAACAAAAAACAATAATTTTCGATCCTGGTTCTTGGGAACGCAGTATCTGCTCCAATCTTCTGTGTTTCTCCATTGGTGATAATACTTCAACATACTGCAAGATAAGAAAATTTTAATTCTATCAGCAACAATATAATATAAGCAGTCATTCCTTCACAACTGAAACTACTAAATAACAGTCAGATTCTGCTTTAAAATAGGATTCACAGCACTAGAGTAGAAACCTGTGTAATAGACCTGTTTGCCACAAGTTCATCGATATTGCCAATGTTGACCTGAACGGGGTTTACCAGTAGATCTGCTGCAATTTTTCGAACTTCCTTTGGCCATGTTGCCGTGTACATCAGAGTCTGCCTGCGAGTAGGGATCTCTTTCACAATCTTCCGAATTTGAGGTTCAAAACCCATGTCCAACATGCGATCAGCCTCATCTAACACAAGATAAGAAACTTGATGAAGACTGATTCTCCTCATTTCTAGAATATCATTTAACCGGCCAGGAGTGGCAACTACAATATCTACTCCTCTCTCAATATCTCTCAATTGAGGAGCCTTCAGTGCTCCTCCATACAAACACTGCAAAGAAAAATATGGCAACGCAAATAAGATATAATGATTGGTGGATCCTCCCGAATAAAAATTATAAACATCACCATTGAAATTGGATGATGATAAAAATACACAACAGAAAGATGAGCAAACTTGAAGTACAGAATCAAAGAATGGTAACAGACCGTGGAACTAATTCTTGAGGACTTCCCAAACTTAAGAGCTTCATCTTGTATCTGAGTAGCCAACTCCCTTGTAGGTGACAACACTAATACAGTAGGACCCATTCGAGGATCTTTACCGCACCGCTTGAGATGCATAAATCCAGGAATTAGGTAACCCAAAGTTTTCCCAGAACCAGTTTTAGCAATGGCTACTATGTCTCTACCTTGCAATGCAATTGGCCACGACTGAGCCTGAATTGGTGTCGGAGCAGAAAACCCAGCACTGTATACCTGTTAAAAGCAACAGAATGAAAATTCCAGGATCCCCTGTGAGCAGATGTATTGCCCTCAAGACTTATGGTTGGTTTGTCAGTCATAAAGGAGTAATTTATGCCACAAGAAGCATCACCCCCATATGCAGGCAGCCAATGCTTGCTGAAGCAAGGTGGAACAGGATGAGGCCTCTTCTTCCGTTCGGACCGAGTGGCAGACTGAATCATCAGCAACAGCAGTCCCAGCTCCGAACGTGGATCATTCAGAAAGCCCTTCCCAAAATTGGTCCACCATAGAGGCCACCCAAAATTATAAGCAAGGCCCCCCACAGAGGGCACCACAGAGTACGACATTAACTCCTCCAAGGAGCAAATATCGCACCTGCGACAAAGCATAAAGATGGCAAAAGAATTAACACGAGTCTGATGCTCAACATTGGAACTTTAAACAATCACAGAACTTTGGACAAGAAATGTTCAACTTGTATCGTTAGATTTAACTTACATGATTGGACTTTCAAATCCACCAATGTTATACAGACCAAAAGGATATGGGAGAAGCAGAATAGAATACCTCTCTAAGTATCTCAGAAGGAAAGCCAGTTGCTTCAAATGAAGAATAGGGCAGGGGCACTTCATCTCCCTTACAAAATTTAGGAAAAATAAGTGTCATAAAAATATAAATATTGGAGTCATGAAATATAACAAGGCATCAAGCACAATAAGATTTTCAGAAGCCAATGTCCCCGATTAAACATGGAAAACTAAGATGGTTATATTGCAACTATCATACTCACTGTTACAGTTATCTCATGCTGATGGCGATAAGCATCACCAGACAAATAACTTCCCCCAGCCACCAATCCATGTCCCCTAGCAGATCCTCCAATCACAGAGCCATAAGTCCCATTAGGTGTATTATGGGAATGAACAAGTCCACCGCCTGCACTCTATAGCAAATTAAGAAAATTAAATTAACCCCAGGTAGAAAAAAATACAAATATTTATAAATTCAAACTTAATATGCTCTACTTTTCATTATTATTTTTTTTAATTTTGGAAAATCCAAGCATCAGGAATTTTGATGGTCTAATACAATATGTTACTGACAAGAATAAGAATCGAAGTCTCAAAATCAAATGAGACAGACACTGAACCTTTTAGACACCAGAAAGAAAAAGGGGCATATTTCATTACTTAGAGTTAAGGCATATGTATTAGTTTTGAATTTCTAAGTGCAAGACGTAGACGAAACTAGAGAAAATTTTACCTGGTTATACCGTGATACTGGCTCAAGTTTTGATACATCATTGCTGCCTCTTCCATGCCGATCATTTTCTTTGTCAGGATTATATCCATTATGTCCTTCAGAAGATTGCTGAACTTGAATTTGAGAACTTATAGGCACAAAATAAGACTTTGGAACATATTCTACGCTTGTAGGTCTTTCATATTGAGTAACATTGGTTACCGGATTCCAAAAGTAGAGATAACCAGTTTTACCATCAACTAAACCTTTCCATGGTTCGGGAAGAGTGGGATCTGGCGGTGCGTATCTTGGAGCAGCAGAAGAGGCAGTCGCTGTAGCAGCCATTGCAAGTAAAGGCACCAACAAAAATCTACAACCACCAAAAACTCCAAAAGGCACAAATGAGAAACTAATATAAGAATCATAACCACAAATTCAAAAGGTAAATAGCTTGGATAACCAAAACCATGAATTGAACTTCCAATTTAATCATTTTTTCATTTATAATAGATCATTCTTTTTGCCTCTTAAGGTCTTACCTTCTACATTTGGATTTGTAATATCTTAACAAATTCTGTAGTTAATGCCAAGGGAAAATCAATTCCCGGAATCTGCCATTTTTTAAAAATTAAATGGACCTCACCTCTGCCACCAAGGGATGGCAAAGTCCAATCAAATTTTAAGCCTCGGCCTTGCCATGAGTTGATGACAAGGCCACTTTAACCGCTTAACTAAAGCTGACCTCCCCACCGATGAGTGGCAAGGTCAGGATTACGTCCAGGAACTGACGGATACCTGATTGAATTTAAAATAAAACTGAGATAACTAATTGAATTTAAACGGCCTATTCCAATAATCAATACGCGAGTACAAAATTTAAGGCTAAAACTTCAAATATTTGAACACCAAGATCTGCCAATAAAAAAGCTCAATGAATATTGAAATTCAAAAGAAAAGAAACCAAATCCGTCAACTACATACTTAACAATCAATCAGTTCCCAGATTCAAGATCAAAACTAGAAAACTCCAGTTTTCCTCATCAGATTCTATCAATAATCAATCAAACCCTTTCTCAACCTAATCTACATAGAATTTGGAACTCTTAACTTTACAAAATTTTAGGGGATAGAGATTAGAATCTAAAGTATAAGAACGAAATTCAGATCTGAGAAAATCAAACAGAATTTATGAAAATCTAAATACCTGATGGTATCGGTTCGAGGAAGATGACGCGATAATCGTTTTCGAATAGAAATCAAAATTTTGCTATTTTTAGGGTCTTCTCTCTCTTTCTCCTCGATATGTCTTCGCAGGAAAGAGAGAAATTCAAAAGAGGCTGCTGTTCGAAGGAATATACAAATTTATAGGCCTTTCAATACACGCATTCGGACAGCTAGCATTTTTCTGAAATAAAATTTTGAAGTGTGAGGAAATATATTTATTTAGTTTTTTTTTAAATATCTATTCTTATTTTAATTTTAATATTGTATTTTTTCATAATTTTATGATTGAATTAGTGATATTGAATTGCAACATCAAATTTAATTAAAAATTAAAAATTAATAAGTATAAACATTGTCAAAAAAAAAATCATATTGTTTGACGTGTTTTGATCCGATTTAATTTTATATTATAAATTTTAGGTTTAAATCAGGTTAAATTTTGTGAATGACGATGTTGAGTTAGGTTATGTTTGAATTTAAAATAAAAAATCTTCGACTTATAATAATATAATTATCTTTTATATTTTTAGAATCATCTCTATATTTTTTTCAGTTAATTTTTTGTTTTATTGAATAAAAAAGATAAAATATTTTTGTGTCATGTGCAAATTTTAACTTTAAAATTCAAATCGAGTTTCGGGTCGAATTGAGTCTCCTTAAAACCTAGTCAAACTAGATGGAGGGCAAAAGAATTTGATACTCAAATCGAGTTCAATTCAACCAAAAGGTTGACCCAACACGACCTATTATAATTGATACATATTTAGGTATAATGTCAAAAAATACTCTTAATATTTGATTAAATAATCATTTTGGCTCATATTCTTTTTTTAAAGTATTTGACATCTAAATGTTTCATTTTAAGGGAAAACCCCTATCACTTAACTAACTAGTCATTTTAGCTCTTATTTTTGGGAACATTTTTACAACATTTCATTTTAAGATAAAAAGATCATTATTTTGGAGTGTTGACCATTTATTGCCTAATTATTCCCCCCAAAATGAAACATTGAAGAAAAATACTCCAAAGATAACGTGTCAAATTGACTATTTAGAACTTTAGAAGCATTTTTTTCATTATACTCTCTTTTAATTAGATCCCTATTTTACCCAATAAAATTAAAAAAATTATATATATTTGTGTCCGATAGAGTGCAGATTTTTACTTAAAAAATTAAGTTGAGTTTTGGGTCAAATGAAACTTCTTTAAATTCATATTAAATCAAGTTATAGATGTAAGAGTATAATAATAAGGTTATCCAAAAATCCGACTAAAATATCATATTTATACTAAAATCATAAATATATGAATATTTCATGTACACTTCATATAAATATACATTTGAAATATACTAAATGAATTGTATGCATAAATATATATATCAAAATTATATTCATAAATAAATAATATTAAATTTTTAAAAAATCGTTAGTAAAGAAGTGTGTTAATACATCCAATTATCTAACTTAAATATTTGATTCCTTGGAATTTTAAGTATGTATCAGATACGAACATGGTCCAATACAATTATGTTCAACTTTAAACATTTCATTTTCAGTTCTCATAAGTCGTAAAGAATGTAATGTTCAGACAATAACAAAGATGCAAGACAAATTCTATTTGAAGCAAAGTATGCACAAATAACCTTTCACATGAAATCATTGATCCCTTTGCATAAGTCTAACCAAGTCTAATATACGACAATAATCGTAGAAGAGAGAAGATTCTTTACCCTCGAGTCCATCCCGATGATGTCTATTACTTCCGATAAGGTTGTTACACGGACTGCCACCGACAACAAGGTCGAATCCACCAAATCTACTCATCAATTGCTCCAACCGATCACCATTCAGTTCTTGCACATCTGGTATATCAATTAGAGTCCCCCGCTGATTTGTTTGCTCCCACCAACTCCTAACAATGTTTCTACTCAATTTCCGACTTTTCATCTGATACAACAGCCTTCAAAGGTATGCTGAGCTGATAGAGGGCAACCTATGCACCACCGATCCAGAGAAAAGAGACAAGATATTGATATCACCGGGGAACATGTCTCTTAAGACCAAAAGATGATAAGCCACTGTGTCGACCTGAAATAAGTTATTCTATAAGCATAGCACTGTAAGCACGGATTCATATACCTCTAAACCAAAGAGTCATATAAGAAGAGTAAAATTAATAACGGAACCATTATGACATTCATGTACCATAACCATTATTACTTGGGAATTTGGCAATTACAAGAGAAAAAAACAGTAAAAATCACACACCTGGAATGAATTACCAAGCGATTTAGACCTCTCTGTCCGACTAGATCCTCCTCCTCGTGTATGGTTTTTGGGGAAACCAAGAAGCATTTCCACCTCATCAGGTTCAAGTGGAACAACTTCATTCCTTCCAACCCATACCAGATTCCATTATCTGCACTCATCAAAAAAATACTTCTAGACACTCAAAGGTGGTTCATCGTCATAAGCTTCAAGAGCCTTTCGGATTCTTTCTGTCAATTTGGCACTTGTTGTACATGTTTGTAAACAGTTCAACTTTGTTCTTGGATCCTAGGAAGGCCACTTCTTTGTCAATGGAAAAGCTTCATGTATGATGCGTGGAGGAAACGGAACAAGAGGACATCTGTTCTCAATTGGCAGATTATGAATATAGCCTTTTTCCGTGCAGCAACACAAAAATACTTCGAATCTACAAACTCTGGCGCTACATCGTAAACGTACCGTGACATTTAAGTCCAAACTCCTACCGGAGCAAGTGCCACGTTCTCACAGTAGAAATAAGGAGGCGAATAGCATCTTCTGGAAGTGTTCTTTGAGTTATCAGATCTGGTTCGGTAGGAACCCAAAACCAATTATTGGATTTGGAAGACTGCATGATCATCTTCATTGAGAAGCTTCTTTTCAAACTTCATATGCTTCTTCTTTTTCCACAAATCATAGCCTGAGTTTCGTCTTTCCTTGTAATTGCGGTCATTGCAGAACGGCTTCTATTTAATTGGATGGAAGGTGTGAGTTTAACCAAAATAATATGCGTAAAACTACATCAAATTGGCAGATACTGCAACTTAAATGCAAAATTGCAAGGAAAAGCTACAAAGATTTACAAAGAGAATTTCAAGTTTGAATTCATAGAAAGGGGAAAGAAACTACCCTATCTTCTACTGGAAGAAGTGCGTCAGCAGCCTTAGCCATTTGAGCAGCACATATAAAATCTATCAACTCTGCAATTAATGAATCCGGACCTGCATTATTTAAAGAGTTAATTTAAAGGTACAATCTGAGTGTAATAACTACATCCCCTCTTAAAAGGCCCATGATACCACCTCAAAAGTTTCACAAACATCTCTTATAAAGATTGAAGCCAAAGTGGCATTGAAAGTTCATTGTTGAAAACTAGAGTTAAAAAGTACACTTGGGTTTCCCTACAAGTACAGAACTTTGTGTCTGTAATCTATGAGTTATTGGGAGTTCCATTTTGGATACATTATGTTCCGTGGTGATATCTCACATCTATTAAGTATTCTCTTTCATGTGGTCTTATATTCGAGTTAGGTCCTTCGCATTTTACCAATTGATTATAGTATAGGTTGGATACTTTACAAGGAATTGAAGCTTAGGTTGTGTTATGTAGTTCCTCATTCGAAAAAAAGAAACCACTCACCACATCTCTCCATGGCTACTGAAGCCTCAGCCTCTGAGTACCCCATTTTTGTCAAGTATAACAGTTTACTCTCCTCATCAGAATCAGGATTCAGATTTCCTAGAACATAGAAATATGAAAAACAAAAACTCAAATAAATGATCTACAAGTAAAATGAGATAAAATATTCTGTTAATAATTAGTCAGTAGCTAAATTATAGCATCTATAGAAAATGCAAATCAGTGACTAAAGGTCAATTTGTAGCATTCACGTGGCTATAAAAATTAAAGCACAACTTCAATTTTTAGAATTAAATTTTCTCATAGTATTAACGGATGGTGATTTTGAAAATGTTTGCAAAGTGAACAGATAAAATAATGGATATAACATTAAAAGTTATATACCTCAGTCTCAGAAGAACTATTGATATCTGTGAAATAATCCAGAAAACTCCCTTCATAATCAGATGAGTAGTTATCAGAATCA